TTTGGTGATGGTTTATGCCTGAGAAATGCCCGAAATCATAAACTTTAAAGGCTGATTTATCAAATATTGTTTTTAAACAGCTGAAACTTTGTAATGAAATGTTAAATTTAAATGATTATTTTACCATTAATAGCTCTCATTTTACTGTTTCATGTATTAATAACTTAAAATTGATTTTTGCAAATTGACTGTACCACATACTGTATGTAATTGTGGCAAAGACAAGCCAAACCAGTCACTCGTCGCAAAAATCAATTTTGTGTTATTAATACAGTGTTAGAGAGTAAAATAATAGCTATAAAATGGTAAAAAAAAATCATTCAAATCGGACATTTCCTTTGAAGTTAACCACACAGCTGTTTAAAGAACAATATATGAGAAATCACCTTTAAAGTTTATGATTTCAGGCATTTCTCCTTAAAAAGTGTTGTTTTAAGATTGAAAATGGGGAAAATAACAGCATAGGATAGTGTGTAGATATATAAAGGTTAGTTTAGTGCAATAAAATAGATTTTTTTAAATTTGACATTTTAGCATGTCTTGGCCATTTTCTCTGAAACAGGATTTGCGACGAGTGACTGGTTTGGCTTGTCTTTGCCACAATTGTACACCTGATGGGTTGTTTGATAAGAAGCTTGGCAACGTTTATAAGATAAAGCTTAGTATAAAACATACTCCAAATGATGTAAGACTCATCAAATGTGATTCAATATTTTTATCATCAGGAATAAATAATATGTCAACATATTCCAGACGAGTTACAGAAAATTAACCAATGAAAACAGTCAGTATATAGCCAATAGGGTTCATACTTTATTGTTGGTGATTTAAATAGTAAATTATCAATAAACAAGTTAACGACTTGATGAAATGAAAAGCTGAAAGTGACAACTAGGTAACAATGATAGTTCTTTGGAAGCTTTCTCAGTCCATTATTTAGATAGATTTTTGAATATTGAAAAGTCTATTAAATTATTAACCGTTTTTCTTTTAGACAATTTAAAACATGCATGCATGAAGTTGCAAGAGAAGTTAGTCTCCAGTAGATTATTGTTTTCTTTTTGGATGGGAAAGATCCCTGCATATCAGGAAGACCAGGGTCCCTTGCATATTATTTTGAAGTACATTTTTTTTTTATATAAGAATCAGTAAAGTTTTTCCCAGGCTCTGTGTTCTTATTTTTTGGCCGATTTTCAGGCTCAAAATGTTATATTTTATTCATATTTTTGTACACTTCCAAACATAGAAAATGATTATTTTACAATCAGTATTACTTTACTGTGTTATAAATGTTATTCCTTAGATGCACATACTGCAAATATTAAAGGCATAGATAGATTTGCTGGTTTTCCATGTTTTTAAATATAAAAACCTCATTTGAAATTTACCTCAGACTCAAGTTTTGTTCTTAACTTTTATGCAATTTCTGCCTCAGTGTTCTTATAAAAAAAAAGAGTGTAGCAGAAATTACACTGTAGAATGTTTCATTTCCAATATACTTTGGTACATCACAGTTGGTACAAAGAGGGGATGCCATTGTAATAAGACAACTCTCTGTTGATTGATTATCTGTCACTTAGCCTGCCACTATCGAAGAGGGTTTTGTACCATTCCCTAATTCATCTTGACGTTCACAACAGCAATCAAAGCAATTTGTACCAAATTTATATTTCCCTTTTGTAGGGACATTTATGAGAATTTAATATGACATTTATGACAGAATGAAGTCTCATATTGTCACTTCAGAGAAACTGAAATACTAATACACTATCAATTTGCCTTAATTCTGTTTTACCGACCATTAATTATCCAAATTCATGGTATTTTTTTTATCTTGTTCTGCATAGTAACTTTAATGATAAGATAAAAAAAATCTAATGAGGTTATTGTTTATGCAACAAGGGTGGATCCATGGAGCTATGGGTAATACAGTAGACCTCTTCCAAAAATATAGAAAAAAAGAGAAGAGAGAAAAATAAAGGAAGAAAAGGAGAGCATGTTACTCCAAAAAAAAAAAAAGCGATTTATTTTATTTAAATTAAATGTACTACAGTAGTGCCTATGGTCAAGTATTTCTAAACAAAATTCCCACACACCACAGGTACAGAGATCCATGCTAAATATTTTTTCTTCTACAGTCAAGTATTTCTAAACAAAATTCTCAAGCATTACATGCACAGAGATCCATGCTAAATATTTTTTTGCTACTGTGGTTCTATACCAGAGGGTTCTTAATGAGTTTGTCGTAAGCCAGTATCTCCAAAGAAATTGATACAACTTTACAAGCCACCATTGATTCAAATGATGCCTTGAAAGATGAACTTAGTTTTTAAGCTAAACATACAGGCAGAAGTGAACCAGAGCATGTCTGATGTATCACCCTACCCTTTTAACGCTGGTCCTCCATTGTTTATTCCTAATCTGTAAGGGGGGGCCATTGTTTTGAACCTGAACCAAGGAGGGTCTCGAACTAGCGCTGATGCATGGTTATGGTTGGAATCAACACTGAGTTTACCATACTGTACCATTCATCCTCTCATCTCAACTCATCCAATTAATACATCAGCTGTATATTATGGTCGTAATCAAATGATGCCCATAGGAATCGTTAACTCAAATTCAATTTGACTGGGACCTAATTAATGTGTGTATTTAGGCAACAGTTCACGCAAATTAATTTTTGAGTTTCCATCCTTGATGTCTATTCTTACTAGTCTCCATCAGCAAATACTGTAGTTTCAGTTTCAGCAAATGTTGTAGTGTCAGTTTCATCAAATACATCTTTCAGCATTTTAACTGGTACATTTGAACTCTATGTAGACAATAATTATGCATATCCTCTGAATGAAAAATTCAAAAGTTGGATTCAAATTACAACTTGTATAATTCTTTATATTAAGTCTAATCATGATCTACTATAAAGTAGATGGACTAATAGCTTTCTTGGACATAATGTAATGGTTGTGAGTATAATTCTGGTTTCGTTTTTAAGTATTTAACTAGCAAGCTCAAACATATTGTAAGTTTCGCATCTTAGCTTTCCTATACTATAGGGACATAATGTTAGTTAATTAATGTTGATTGTTGGTTGGTTTAATTATTGGTGTTGGTTGTTAATGATGGTTGTTGTTGGTTGATGAATGTTGGTTGTGAGTATAATTCTAGTATTATTTTTAAGTAATCGTCTAACAAAGCTAAAAAGGTGGATATAAATTAAAATCTATAAAATCTTGACGTAGAAAATTTAAAAGCGAATAAAACTAAATGGCATAAACTCATATTTGGCCATTTGAAGACCAACTAGGAAATCAGCCTGGGCTGGGATACTTTTATACTAGGGTAGCAACTATGTGTGCGCTGAACTTTACCTACACACTGGGTCCCCGGGTTAATTCCCATCACTGCTCTCATTATTTGTGTAGGGAAAGATTATATGTAGAATAATGCCAGGGACTATATGCTACGTTTTCTAAGTTAGAGTGTAGTTGGTAGTAGTATTAAATTTCTAGTGCATAGAGACCTATGTATTTTGCGCTTTACAAATCCAAATTATTATTATTATTATTATTAGGCTGTAACCTCAATTCTTTGGATCCTGTTTCATTAATAGTGTTTTGATAAACTTCGATAGGTTGAATTATTTCACTTCAGTGCTCATGTGTAGTTTGTGAACTGGATGATTTGTTTTAAGACCAGGGTGCACTTATATCATTCAGGCAATGTTAAGGTCAATTTAACTTCCACAATTCCTTTGTTAAATCAATGAAACTCCCATTATTCATCCCTCTTCAGTATACTCATTTCTTTTTACCTACCATTTAGGTAGTAAACAGTCTCGCATTATACCGGCACCATCGAAGGTGGGTCTTTAGCTATAGTTAATTTTATTTTAATTAATTTTAATTAATTTTTTCAGTTTGTGATTTTCATTTTATGTACTGTATTTAAGAACTGTATTTAAAGACATTGTCATATCTGCAGCTACTTTATAAGATATTGTGTTCCATATGGTGATATGGGTTGGGCCAGACCTAGGGCTACTATCTATATCCTAACATATGTTTGTCAGACACATTTAATGTTGTTTGATCAAACAATAACTTATTTAAAGTATGCCAAGCTTCAGATACATTTCTTCAAACAAAAATTGGATAATTTTATTGTTTTTCATGAGACATGATATTGATGCTCAATGCGATATTTAGATTTTATTCCCTAGTCACTGGCAGTCTGGTAGCATACTCTAGGAAACTTCCTCTGCTGGTAGAGGTATGCACTGTGGAATGACCGCTCGAGCTTTTGGATTAAGAAACTTGGTTCTTTCTGTGACTGTCCCCTTAGTTTTCAATTAAATATGAATTTGTTCAAGTTTCTGTTAAAAGGAATATTATTTATGAAATGTGCATTTTGTATTTAGAATTCCACAGTGGGAAGAGAAAACATAGGATAAATTGCCTTGCCCATGCTTCCAGATTATTATTATTATTATTATTATTATTATTATTATTATTATTATTATTATTATTTTTATTATTATTTTATTATTATTTTTATTTTTATTATTATTATTATTATCATTATTATTATTTTTATTATTATTATTATTACCAACCGATATTGTGTGGTAGGGTGGCCAGTTCCTTTCCACGCCGCCTTTTTTCCAGTAGTAAACCACCGGGTACTCATTTATACTCCTGTGTAGAGAGAGACAAACGTAGATAAAGTGCCTTGCCCAAGGACACAAGCGACTTGCACAGTGAGAGTTCCGAACCCCTGACCTCAAGGTTGGGAGTCCAAGACACAACCGATGCGCCAACCGCTTCCACAGTTTGCTATTTACTTCATTTAATTTACTATTATTTTGTCATGTTTGACCAAATAGGGGGTGCTCAGGCAACCTGAACTCCACCCCTTGGTACACCACTGATATGAAAGTGATTAAAATTGTTTCTATAATACTATAATGGATAAATATATTGAATTTTTTTTTGTTTTTACAGGCTCAAACTCATTCAAAAATGAATTGGGAAATGAAGTCTTATTGAATATTATATAGAGATCAGCTAAATATCATAAGGACTTGAGGATGATCAAGGCCTTATATCACCATGTCTCTTCTCAACAAGAAGCTTCTCATCCTTATGTTTTGTGTTTTAACGCTGTTAATGATTTCTTATCTTTCTCTTCGCCTAAAAAGTGACACAGATTTCAACTTAGAATCGGACAAAAAAAGAATCAAGTTTTCCTATCGCAAAAAAGCACTTCTATCCAATTCTGGCCTTAATTACAAGCAAGGAGATCATGTTGTAGATGGAATTGTATATAGTTCCTTTGGGAATCGGGAAAATAATACATTAGATGAGTTATCATTTGAGGATGCATTTCAAAATGGAGCTGATAACGATGTTAGAAATCATTCAAAACCTGAAATCGAATCAAAATATACTTTTAACAAACAGAAAGAATCTGGAGTTATGACGGAATATTTAATAGCAAATAAAGATCCACGATCCGAACGTCTACTTAAGAAGGTGTTCAGTACGATGAATGATGATTTGTACCATAAGTTTTTTACAAGGATTAAATACTTTGAAATTAAAAATCGCATGACTTTCAAGCAGTTGCCACCTCAAGGGAAATGGAAGTTGTTAATATCAACAATGAAGGAGCTTGGCTACGAACAGAAGTTACCAAAAATTATTAATATTGGCTCCAAAAAGAGCGGCACGAATGCATTTGGGTTTTTCTTTCAACAGCATCCGGAAGTTTGCCACTCACTAGGCAATGAAGTTCACTATTTTGATTGGAATCATGAAAAGGGTACGGGGTACTATAAATCAAGGATGGGATTCGCTACAAAAGACCAAATTAGTTTTGAGAAAACACCACGTTATTTTGTAACTGAAGACGCGCCTTTATTTATACAGAAAGAACTTCCAGAAGACATTAAATTTGTATTATGCGTCAGAGACCCAGTACAACGAGCCATCTCAGATTTTCGCCATGAATCTGAGCTGCAAGAGCGAAGAAAATTTAAAGGCAGGGTAGATCGTACAAAATATTTGTCTCAAAATGGAATAATGCAAGGGCGTGAATTTGAAAAATTGGTGTTGACTCCGAACGGGGAGGTCAATGCGTCAAATGAGATCATTCGGACAAGTCTTTATTTTACACATTTTCAAAACTGGTTGAAATATTATCCGAGGGATCGGTTCTTAGTTATTAATCACGATAACCTTCAGAATGATGTGTTAACGGAACTGAAGCGAGCAGAACAGTTCTTAGGTTTAAAGTCGTATTTTAGAGCGGATATGTTTTATTTTGATGAAAGTAGGCATGGATCCTGCATGAAAGGTAAACCTCGGCCATGTCCCGCAAAGAGCACGCCCGGTTTCCTACCCAAAGCGCAGTTAAACCCTCAGTTACAAAAGAAGTTATACGATTTTTATAGGCCATACAACAATGCATTTGCGAAACTAATTGGAAAGAGATTTGCATGGATGAATCAATGATAATTGATATTCTGAGATTGTACAGTAGATAGGAAAGAAAACATTAATGGATTTGATAACCTTCAACCGTACTCTAACGTAATTTGACCTATCCTAGTTGAGTCATCAAATGCATTGCCAACACAGAAAGCTGCTAGATAAGACCTGTCCTAGAAAGTTTATTAAAAAGTAACAATCAGGTATATACTACAGTTTAATATTCAAGTGAATTGCCAAAACAGAAAGGATGGATGAGTTAAAAGTAGCCAATATATGCTCCTGCTAGGAGCTTTTTTTTAATTTTTTTTTTTAAGCTATCATTTTTATAGGCCTATACTTAATATAATGCTATGATGATGTGCTATTATTTTTCTGTTGCACTTGTATAACTGTAGGTCAAAGTTTAAAATGCTAATAGTGATTTCTGTATTAATTTATGTATTTTTTTTTAAAGCGATTATGTCAGTGACATGCAGTATGATTCTTAATGTGTCTCACGATGGAATATAGCCGCCATGTCTTTTGCTTTTTTCGAAGTCCTGACTAAGCTATGGCTCGTTTCTACTCTCAAACGTAACCGGTTGTTCAACCGGAGTATTAAAAACACATTGTTAAATTTTGTAGTAGAACCAGGGTCCCCCAAAAACATGGCTTAAGATAAACGGTTAAGAACATTGTATAATATTTGAGCGGTTATTTTTGGCACATTTTCTCGTCAACATGCAAATACAGTATTAGCTATGACACCGGTGGCCTCGTTTCAGATGATTTTTTGCACTCATCCCCTTCTGTTCTCAGCATGCACAAAGAGTAACCAAAGTACTATATTACTAACTGTGTGTGATTTTTGTTTTTCGGTTATTACACCAATTTAAGCTGGGCACACACTGCATCCTACGACGGTCGTATGACAAATCCAACCAGTGACAACTAGGTGACGTGATGCCGTCTGCTAATTGTCTTTGGCAGTCTGAACATCGTCATTAAAATTTGTCCGTTCCGCGCATGTCGTTGCATTGCATTCTCCATAGAATCGCGTTGGTTGATGACCGTTGTGTGCATTTAGTACCCGGCTTAATGCTTTTGTTATACCGTTGCCATGTTCATTTGTGTTGCACTTTGGAGCATAAACATGTTACGTAGGATTTTAAGCAGGAATAACCTACAGTAAATCTCCTAATGAGATTTAGAGAATGGAAATGTTTTTTTGAACGAAAATTCTTGAATCTTGTTTGGCTTGAGCTCAAGAGAGAGAAAGACAATCATTTTATTTCAACAAGGATAATCATGTTAAATATAATCAATTCAGTGTTTTATCTTAATTTTTTAATGTGTTTTTAGGTTTTGTTACACTTGGTATTTTTTGTTAGAACATTTTGTATGTATATTTATCTATTGTATTATTATAATATACTGTAGTTTATATAGTCCTAATATTTTTGCTAAAATAGTACTGTATAATGTAGGTTGATTATTAAAGTATAGGTTAGTTATTAAAGTACAGTATACTTATATTCTTCAACTTTTCGATATTTTTCCAGAATACGGAGTATGATTGTTTTAAAGACTGTTCCCACCCCTTAATATTGTCTTACTATATATTACAACCTTCCACTGTCTTGTGGCAAATTATGTTATTGTTGAAGGTAATTTAACAAATTTTAAATTTTGACATTTTTGGTTTATTTTACAAGGGTACGCCAGATGGATTGTTTTAAAGGAGGGTGTGAATAAAAACGAAAAAGAAAACAATGAAACCAAGTGGCTGACTACCGTGTTCAAGCCATAGTATGGCACAGTGTTTTATGGACACCACAATTTTCAAATCACTGTATAATATAGTGTTCCATGGATACCACAGTGTTCAAACCATACAGTGTTTTATGGACACTACACCGTACTAATCACTGTATGTTGTAGTATTCTATGAATACCACAGTGTTCAAGCCATATTATGGTACAGTGTTTCATGGACACCACAGTGTACAAATCACTGTATGGTATAGTTTTCTATGGATACCACAGTGTTTAAGCCATAGTATGGTACAGTATTTTAAGGACACCACAGTGTACAAATCACTATAGTGTTCTATGGATACCATAATGTTAAACTACAGTATGGTACGGTGTGATGCATAACACTTTCATATAACATAGTGGATACATTACCGGTATGGTGCAGTATTTTGTACCAAATGCCATGCTGTATAATTTCTATACTATTTTCTGTAACTGTATACCAGCAGTGTGTGATGCACTATAAACCACAGTACAGTACAGTGTATTCTGGCTATTACAGTTCATATACAATGGTGGTGTACAGTATTTTTTTACTGCATCATCATTCCTTTTTACTGTGATCTGTCCTGTACCGCTTTCTGTATTTTAAACCCACAATGTTCGATGTGCTGTACGGTAAACCAAAGTATTGTAGAATTTAACGTACTTTATTGCCACAACCAGTATTGTACATTGTTTGTCCACACACTATAAAATTTTCTTTGACAAAGAACTGTTGTACCAGTATGCCCATATATAGTCATGATGTGCCTACGTATTGTCATGATCTCGTCATGACCATATTTAGACGTGTCACATTGTTTTTGTCAATCAGATTTGATAGTCTGGACAGAGAGCTTTATGCAAATCAATTATTGTTCTGTACTGGATATCACACAGTATGGGACAATTTTCTGTAATGGTTATCACAGAAAAGTACACTATTATTTAACTATGTTGCTATATGGTGTGTGAAATTTAATTTAGTAGAGTATGGTACAGTATTTTGTTTACAGTATTTTCTGACTCGAAAATAAACAGAGGCATGACATTGTTATCTTGATGACTTTAGTTGACATATCTATAATATCCTACAATGGCAATGAGTACAATAGTTATATATATTATATATATATATATATATTTATATGTATATATACATATATGTGTATATATATGTATAAATGTACATATATGTATATATATGTATATGTATATATACATATATGTGTATATATATATGTATATATATGTATAAATGTACATATATATATATATATACACATATATATATATATACACATATATATATTTTACGTATTTACAATTAATACCAAATCATGTTTTATTATGTTACTTCGTATGTGATCTTTCACCTAGGCTGACTGTGGACCAGTGTCATTGCAATTTATAATGTCAATAAAGTGGTATGCATATGTCTTTTACATACTCTTGTCTCCAAATCTATATTTTGAGTTTTCTTGACATTTTCATGACGTCGGAAGAGAGCAGCTTAGCTCAGTCGGCTAATCTGGTGGTAGCCGCTGTGTGTGTGCTGAACCGTGAAGATCTCTAGATTCCCGGTTCAATTCCCATCGCTGCCTCTCCTTGTGTTTCAGCTAGAGGGCTGAAATACAAGTTACAATAGCGCACCGTCTTTCGGATGAGACGTTTAAGCTGTCGGTCCTGTGTGCATTATGGCCCATGTGCACGTTGAAGAACGCAGTACACTCTTCGGAAATGTGTAGGGGATTGTCTCCCGGTGTACTGCCCAATCATCACCAGACGGAGCCCACTGGAGATAAGTCTTCTTCTAGACTTTCGTGGGCTATCCTTAAAAATAAATCCAATCCAGTCGGCCTTTTACCACCATTGCTAGTGACCAATAAATTGTAGTTCTGCTTCCACAACACAAACGTTCAATGTGAGCTTTCTATTCTGGCAATACAGTACCTTTGCAATGTAAAGTGAACAAGCGAACTTGCAATTTGAATGCTAATCTTGTTTGGATTAATCGTGCCCGATTTATAAATTTGTTCTTGCCCTAAAGGTTTACTTAATCTTTCCTAAAAACCATGTCTACCAGTTATTTAATGTTATCGTAGGCCTATGCTTAGACACAGGAAGACCAGTATTAGCCCAGATGGATCTTAAATCTGTCGACCATGTGTCGTTTGGTTTCACCAGTAGACCTATAAAAATTTACATTGCATGCTTGTAATACCTGATTCACACATGGAATGAAATGTAACAAAATGCTACAAAAGAGTCTTACCGCAAAACCTCGAATAGAAGGCCAATGGGCATGATCTCGAGAAAAAGCCCATCTCGAATTGAAGCCCCCCTCTTAAGTTTGCAAAAGTAACTTCGAAAAGAAGCCTATTTCAAAAAGAAGCAATGGGGTTCTTTTCAAAATATAGCATGGGCTTCTTTTCGAGATAGTACAGTACACATACGCTGTACATGAAGTTCGTGTATTTAACCGGCATTAAATCACCTAAAAAAAAACTACTATAAACCAAGCTTGTTTTTAATTCCCAAAATTTACAGCATTCATTTAGAAGAAGCCCTTCCCTTACTTTCCACCATTAAAATCAGACGGCGATGTACGTAGGTTCAACTCACACCTGAGCCTGCAATTCCAAACGATACACAGCCACTATGCAGATATTGTGTTTACAGATAAAAATGTGTTAAAATGCGTAGGTTTGTAATATATACTCGTAGAAATAAAAGTTTATTCATCTATGCGTACATTTAACTGCAGAATCTTAAACTCGGACAGGTTAAATCCAGTGATATGGAAGAATTCTTACCACTATTAAAATCAGACGGCGATGTAGGTTCGAGTCAACACCCAGCGCCTGCAATTCCAAATGATACAACAGCCATTATACAGATGTTGTGTTTATAAATAAGAAGGTGTAAAAATGCGTAGGTTTGTAATATATTGTAGAAATAAAACTTTATTCATGAATGCCTACATTAATGACTGTTTTAACTGCAGAATCATAAACTCAGACGGCAATGTAGGTTCGAGTCACACCCCAGAGCCATTTTTCAAACACTTTCAATTTTCTTTCGTGAGCTATGCTTGATACCATAAAATTTTCCTATGTAGTACGACTGTTATTATTTAGGCCTACTTGTCTTGTTACTGGGTTTTTCCTAATATAGGCCTATATACATCAGCACACGTGTTCAGATCACAGATAGGCCTATTCTTAGTAAAATTTTCAATACAATACAATCATACACAAGACTAAAATTGATCGTACGATGCTATTAATAGTCGGCCAAGACGATAAAACATGTCATTTTGAACTCCTCTTCGTCTCGTCACATCACCGTAATTCATGGCTATTTTGAACACTATCTACATCGTACTGATCCTTTTCAACTCTCTATCGAATGGGATTCTGACAAGACTCCGTATCAACTCCTCGTCGTATCATTTACTCTTATAATCTCTGGAGGAAACAACTCACGTTTTTATAATCAAAATTTATGAAAGAAAGTTATTAATTTGAATCGTGGAAGCACCATTAGAATCAGAATTAAATATTGTTATCAACGAATTTACAGATTGCAATTAAATTTGTTATAAAAAAATGAACCAATAAAATTATGATAATAAAGACAATAGGCCTCATGTCAACGCAACACTATACAATAACCACAAAAATAACAATAATTAATAGCAATAATAATGATGATGATGATGATGATGATGATAATAATACTAATTATAATAATAATAATAATAGTAATAATTTTAATAATAATAATAATTTTAATAATAATAATAATAATAATAATAATAATTCAAAAAAATTATGATAAATATCAATAATAGCAGCAGTAACAAGTTTGACATATTTTGGAAATACGCGAAGCAGGCTCATATTAATCGTATTTTTAATGGTGTTCGAAACTCACGATAAATTGCAGTATTTTGATATTTGATACTGTGTTGTATTACCTGCGTATAAAACGAAATATCAATTTGGTTGGCTATGTCTGTTGGGATAAATCTAAACTTGATATTGAAAATATATTTTTCAAACACTAACTGAAAACATCAAGCAGGAATTGACGGAGCAACGATCTACGGAGAGGTTGTTGAATTAAGTGAAAGGGGATTAATTGAAAAGCCGCTTACAACCAAAAACACGAAACTTTGGCTCCATTTTAAAAAATGAATAATCGACTATGTTGATTAACATTAAGCCCATTCGGCAGTCGTTACCAAGAAAGTATTTTCCAAGAAAGACAATCATCGATCTTCAAGTTAAAAAAAATTACAGCATTTTGGAACATAGGCCTAATAAAAAAAAAAAAAAAAAAAGAACTAACTGTTTATTCGTGTACGCCTGGTTTTCTTAAAATCGCTATAGACACTCACTGTCGCTACAGTATTTACAGCGCAATCGGTAGCGATTGTATGGAAACTAAGCTTACGTCACAATTTGAATAATAGCATCGGTGTATAAGAGTTTTGCTCGAAAAATGTATCGTCATCGTCCTCATTATCGTCGTCGTCGACATTATCATCATCGTCATCATAATTACTATCATTATCACTGTTGTTGCTGTTTCTATTGCTATTGTAATTGATTGTTATAATTTTAATTGTTATCAATAATATCCTCATATTAAATCATAATCGGCAGCAGCAGTGGTAGTGATAGCTTTTACCATTATCATCATCCTTATTGTCAACGTGATCGTCATGTTGGTATTAAATTATTGATTTGTTATGATAGCGGGATCGGGAGTTCGAGACCGACGCTCGTCGCATTGCTTGCGTCCTAAGGCCCTGTCACATAGTAGCGAATAGACTTAACGTATGCCGAGCGTTCTCATTTTTTCCCTAAGTCCCGATACGCTCAAATACGCCCATTTTTTTGGCAAAAAAATAACATTTTTGCGTGAAAGACGAACGCCCAACGAATGAGAAACGAATGCTCATCGTACAACTAGCGTCCATTTAACGAATGACGACAGCGCGTTCGCCCTGCGAATGTTCAGCGTAGTACACAACGAATGCCCAGCGAATGTCACACGTATGCCTAACGTATTGACGCCTTGTAAATGTTGATGTAGGTCGGTATACGCTGAGTGTTCGCTGGCCATTCGTTTCTCATTAGACAAACGCTATGAATACGTTATGCATTTGCTATGGCAACGTTTCAGACGGGATTGAACGTGTTTGGACGAACAGAAAACGTAAACCAACGTGCACCCAACGTGCGAAACGTTCAAACAATGCTCACCGTATACATAGCGTATGTAGCAGAACGTTGTCATACGTTCAAAATTTTGAACATGTCCAAAAATTAAAATCGACCTCAGCGTACCCCAACGAACAGCTAACGAATACGTAACGTATGCCAAACGTATTACGGACGTATCACGGACGAATGTCAACTTACGCGAACGTAAACCAAAATTTTGATACACGTCGGCATACGTTGGTTCTATACGCTACAGTGTGACAGGGGCTTTAGGCAAGATACGTTACTACGTTTGCCTCTCTCCACCCAAGAGTACAAGTGGATACCTGGTAGCTTCAAACACAACTGCGCTGATGACTAGCTGCACTATTAAAGAATTTTCCCCAGGGCTCGAGCTGAGTACGTATTCCATGCGTGTTTGATCCAACATTATTATTTCCTTTTTTTAAATTTATTTAAATTCTTACAAATTATTGAAATAATAATCAAATATTTTACAGTTTGTACAGTAGGACAACAATAATGACCCGAATTTTTAAGTATTGCCTGAAAAAAAAAAAAAAAAAACACCAAAAAAACAAAAACGACTGAAAGGTTCACTTCTATTAGCAGGTTTTCCAAACCTTCTAAACATGGTTGGCGCCAGGATTTTCCCGAAGGGAAGTCTAGCTCACGTCTCCGACTGGGAGGGGGTGGGGGGCGATGTCCCCGACGAAAAAGGTGGGCGTGGTCGGGCGTCGCTCATAATCTCTCGAAATTCGACAATTTAGGGGTTTGCTTTAGTCGGGGAAATGTGCCTTCTCGTTGGGGGTATCGGCGCCTCCCCAGTCTCGTTGGGGACCTCGGACTCCGTCGGGCAAATCCTAGCGCCACCCCTATCAAACAGTAATTTCAAAGCAAATCTACCACC